TCTAAATTCCCGCAGTGTGAGCATCCCAGGCAGCCAGGGGACAAAAGAGTGAGTGTCTCTTCTGCTGCTCAAAGCGACATCTCAGCACTCTCGCCTCCAACAGGCCCAAATATGACAGCCTACTGGGTCCAGCTGCCACTCGAGGGCCCGTTCAATCCCGGCTCTGTCTCAGAGACTGGCCCCCATCTCTCGCAACACTTAGCCTCACGCCTGTGGGCTGATGTGCAGAAATGCAACTGATGCCCACTTCAAAAATACCAAGATGAAACGCAGCTCTTTGCCCTTGGCTCTTAAGAGGAGAGAGCTTCGGTGGCAACATCGCCAGCGTGATTGATTTTGCACGCAGGATAGAAGGGGCTGAAGAGGCTTCTTAGAAGACGTGTCCATCTTTAGGAATAAGCATGCAATTATTATAACACGCTGACACACCCTGAGCGACGGAAAGCCACACTTTCACTCAAATGCCTCTCACGATGAGGTGACAGATCTTAGGAGTGCATTTCACATTCACACTCAGAATGTAAGTCAGACACTTAGGCAGTTCTGCTGAGGAGTATAATAAGGACAGCCCTTGTAGGATGAAGTATCCCTCAAGTACTTCATATCCTGGCTTCAGATTATAAGAAGCAGCCTAGACCAGAGCCTCGTAAACGCTCTGCGCTGCCTAATAAAAAGAGTACACAGCAACATTTGCATTTCACCCGCTAGTTCTTGGAGTTACATGCATCTGAATCTGACATCTGGATATCCGAACCACAGGCAGTTATCGTTCAGCCACCCTCTGAGTTAGGTGATTAAGGCCCCTCCCTCACCTATGATAGGTTATTATTAATCATCTCAGCATGGCGTGGCACATGTCCTGATGTGACTCCATGAAACGTGAGATCATTGCAGAGACAGCACTTCTATAAGCCTCCCAGCCTAATAGCCTTGGGCTTCAGAGACCTCCGAGCCACTGCCAGCGGGGTTTATGGACGCATGAAAAAGAAACTACAGGATAAATACACGAAATCAGGAGAAGAACACGGTGTACCGGTTCAAATTAAAAATGCAACCTGGTCCCTTATGAGAGACAGTAACTTTAGCTGAGTTACAACAGTGATGGACCCATGCAAGGTAAACAGATACAGCATGGATCACGCCTAAAATCCTAAATCTAAAACATGTCACCAGCCCTCTCCACTTTCAACCTCCAATATATTCCCCCATATGAAATAAAAAGCATCCATCTGCTGAGCAGTCTGCGAGATGGGTTTCCTGTGAACGCTTGTAAAGTGACCGTGAATTACTTTATTTGTTTATTTTGAGGTCAAGTGTGAACTTTCAAGCTCAATATTTTCCCATGTCTTCCCACCATACCACACCAGTGTCATTAGTGATTCCACTATCCAGCTGTTTAAGTTTTACATGGCTTTAAATGGCCTGATGTTTACTTTCACACCAGACGTGCTCACTCTGCTTTGAGAAATGCATGTATTCAATTTTTAATTAATCCATAACCTGACAACGAGGAAAATAGTTCCACACTGTGGGAAATGTGCTTGTTTTTTTTTTTCTTTCTTTCCAAGAGAAAATCGATACTGCTCTCATATCTTTCAGTTAAATATGAGGCTGGAGCCAGAGGGCGGTTAGCTTAGCTTAGCATAAAGACTGGAAACGGGGGGAAACAGCTAGCCTCATAGGCAACATAACTCAAGATTATTCCTAACATCACAACATTTTGAACAAATCTCATTTCACTCTGAAGAGTCAGTATATTGAAGGTCGAATAAAACCGATTTTTAGAATGAAATGAAATGTGTGAAAACATTGAGTGCCCCTTATTTTCCTGCCCAACGTCTAGATGTTATGCCGAAATCTGCAAATAGATTCTCCCGTGTTTTCTGCTCTGCTGACTCTCTCTAAACTCTCCGACTGTTTCCATTTTAAGAAAATGAAATATTAAGGCAGTGCTGCTGTAAAACAGGTTTTACCCTCTGCAGATAAGCAGCGGTCAGTTTGTTGATCCACCTTAAGAGGCTGATGTCACAGGATGAGGCAGTTGACTTGACATCTGGTTAACAAGGCGAGTTCCCTGTTGTCTGCACTGACAGACAGCGGTCAATAGAGATCTGCAGTGATCTTGATCGGCACGAGAAGTGAAGCCTCCGTTCAGACAAACTCACTGCGCAGGCAACTAACACGGTAAATAAAGTAGATGCACACAGTAAAGCGGCTTCATATGACTGAACTACGCTGTTCATGTTACTGGCAGATATTCGGGGTCACGGGGGATTGAACCTGGGAACTTTTTAGTTACAGGAACCTTTTTATCCAATAGTCCACATCACAGTTTTGCTATTCCTGGAAATGAGTTAGTCTTATTTCAGCTAAAAGCCATGCAATGTAATACTCACTGAAGGTATTAACTTAAGAGGATAGAGAGAGGCTAAGGAGAGGCAGTCATCAGTTAAAAAAATAAATAAACACACATATATTCCCTCATATACTCCTGTATTAATTACAGATGTTTTCCCTTCTCCACAGCTGCTGACCAAAGTCTGGCAGCAGGTTTTAGTCGGGTGGAGTTTAAACCACAAACTCCTTCATTTCTGTCATTACATCAGGCTAAAAATGTGCATTTGCTTGTGCGAGTGGAAAGGAAAAAAAAAAAAAAGAAAAGCAGAATATTTATCATGTTTCAACATGATATCGAAAAGCTTGGATCAAATCTCCAGAAACATTAGACTGAGAGGAAAAAAAAAAGGTTTCTTCCAGTCTTTTTCCGACCACTTCCTCTGAGGTCTTCACTGTGTTTTTGCAGCTGATGACAGAGCGTACAGTAGTTAAACCAACATCGCATGTAGGTGCAAGGTCACTGAGGTTCAGCGTAGATCATATGTCTGATCTGCGGCAGTGTGACCGTTGTTGTGACCCCACACTTCAGGAAGGATGAACAACTATAACAGAAGTGTGCAGTCCTCTGTACTATCGGTTGAATATTCAGTTGGTCCATCAATGAAAAAAAAATGTAAAAGAATTAGCAACTTATGTGATAATCGATTGTCTCTGTAATTATTCAAGCATACATGCCAAACATTCTCCAGCTCCAGCTTCTTAAATGTGAGGATTCATTGTTTTTCTTTGTCATATGTGACACTCAACTGAAGATCTTTGGCCTTTGGTCGAACAAAACAATGAGTTTTAAGAGGCCACCTTGGGCTCTGGGATTTTTCCGACATTTTATGGACAACACGATCAATTTATTAATCCTAAATAAATAAATAAATAAATAAAAGGAAGATTAATTGATAAGAAAATGCAAGAGACCTTGTAATGGCGTAGCAGGTCTGTGACTGAATGCCAAAAGGGCTTAACAGTCACATGAAACAATTGGATGTGGTTTGATTAAATGGCCAGTTTACAATGCTGCAGACTATTTTACCAGTGCAATAAACCCAGAGATATGAACCACGGCTGCAACTCACAATCATTTTCATGATCAGTTAATCAGCCAGTTATCGTCTCGATTACTCGATTCATTGTTCGGTCTGAAAACTATGAGAAAATAATGAAACGCCAAATCACAAATTCCCAAGATTGAATCAGAAACGCTTTCAGACCGACAGTCCAAAACAAAAGATATTCATCGTTTTATCTCAGAAGGACGAGAAAACAAACAAATCTTCAGATCCGAGAAGCTGGAACCAGAGAGTCACTGTTTCGGTTATGGATGTGTCCTTCAGTCGTCTGCATGACCCCAGGTGTTTGATAATGTTCATCATCAGTCACGCAGGGCAGCTCAGGTGTTTGATTTTACGCAGACTGATATTTGTTATTATCTACCTTTAAAAAAATAATACAAACAAACCCTCGTGATTATGTGATACAGCCGAACACGGCAGATAAAAACAGTAAGTGGACCTTGAGTTACAATTGTTTTATAAAAGTATTATCTTCAAGATGAGGAATAAACTTCCATGTTTGACTTATCAACCAACGTGGACAAGAAGTCCTAAAAGAGCTGATATGCTAAGTCAAATAATCAATTAGTTGATTGACAGAAAGTTTAAGTACAACTGTTTTAATAGTCGATTAATAATTGAAGCCATTCGTTTAGCTGACTGAAGCTTCTTAAATGTGAAGATTTGCTGCTTTTCTCTGTTTTACATTATTGTAGAATGAATATCTTTGGATTTCGGCCTGTTTGTCTGATTTAAAAAATGCAAATTTGAGAACATCACCTTGAGTTCTGGGAAGCTGTGATGGGAATTTTCCATTATTCTCTAACATTTTAAAGACTAAACTATCAATAGATAAATTCATAATGAAAATAACTGTTGGCTGCAGTCATGTCAGCTTCTGACCTCACGTGTTAACAAATCAATCTGCATGACATTGATGAAGGCTGCGTGATACAGTCACAAGATCTGGGAAAAGCTGAGTGCACCATGCGTTGTTTAACAATAAAATGTTGCCCCAGAGAGTTTAATCAGAATTTGACACTGAACACCTGCAGTGTGAACTCATCCTCTGAGTCTCTGGGGGTCACAGGAGCCAAATGGTCTCCATGGTGCAGCCTGGCACAATGATCTGGCATAAAGCTGGTTATCCATCATTACAACTGAGTGGGTGATTATGAGCATTCAGAGCCTTCAACACAACATCTATCTGCAGAATACACACATTTACAGCCTGTTTTAAGGCTGCACTGTTTGTTTCTGAGTTGTCTGTATTAGTGGCTGCCTGCCAAATGGTGCTCACCAACTTGAAGCCATACATCTTCTATTTACCACAACATCAAAACAGAGCAGATGGCTGCATGATTGCATTACCCCGTTGCGGGGCCTGCATGGGCATCCACCTGGCATGATGATACAGCTAGCCGGTGGTAAGCCGCTGTGCAGCTGTAACGTTAGCAATCTGACAAATGACTGTGCAGGCTGCACGCCTAGCGCATTGCAAAACACAGGCTTTAAAGTTTAAAAGGACAATGGCTTGTCATGCTTGCAGGGACTCACCTCGGGATGCAGTTCGGGGAGGATCCGTCTATCTCCCATGTTGCAAATAGGTTCATGGGCACCGGTCTGTTGAGAGCCCCGCTGCCGGGGAAACTCAACCGGCCACTTCTCTCCGCCATGGTCCGGGCTGCGGGTGGGACTGTCCGACACCAAGCTGGGGATTTGTAAACAGCAGACCAGTGCGGGTCTTCTGTATGTGTATGTGTGTGTGTGTGTGCGTGTGTGTGTGTGTGTATGTGTGTGTATGTGTGTGTGTGTGTGTGTCCGTGAAGAAGAGCAGTCACACGCTCACGTTAGTGTGATGTGAACGGCGGAGGACGAGCTCATTTCTCCGTCCGTGTTGAGCCGGGCCGGTCGGTGTGGTCCTCTGTGCCGGGGAGGAACTCTGCAGTGGGAGCAGCGCTGGAGTGAACGGACCGACCGCTGAGCTTGTTGTGCCTACCACGCTGCTCCCAGTGTATGAGGGGTGATTAGTGCCACACGAGTCCGAGGAGGAGTGGCACAAACAAGTTTTACAAATATTGATTAAAAATTGGCTTGGTTTCCCTTATTGCATTATATTGCATTTCACAAAGCACTACTCATTAATAATAAATAATAAATGCATTTTATACTCAAAATCTCAGTGCCAAAGTTTGTGTGTCTTGTGTATTAGCATTAGCATCTTAATTTTATTAAAAGATAAATATGTGTAAGGTCATTTAACAACAGTTTTTCTAATTTCAGCTTCTCAAATGTGACGATATGTGGCTTTTCTCTGTTGTATATGGATTTTGTAATGATTATCTAATTAAACAGTAATTTAAAGATAACAACATGAGCTCAGAGCAGCCTTGTAAAAATAAAGAAATTAAAAATAAAAAGAGGATTGCATTGTATTGTCATTGGTAAATGGGTTTATAAGACATTGCCGGGTATTTATCTTTTAAAGAGGTTGCTTATCTCTGCAGCTCAAACAAAGTGCTGAGACATAAGATCTGGCTAACAATAACCTTGTTACTGTAAAACGTCTGTTTCACCACAGCTTATCAATAATCAGATTCTCTTCCCTGCTGCATTCATTACCTTTGAACCAAGGCTGACATATTTATGTTTGTAGCCTGAAAAATGTTCCTTTTTCCTTTCTTGGTTGGAATATTTGAGCTGACAGTGCAGTGAAAAGACATGCTCTGTCATACACCATCACACAGTTGGTCCTCACATGATCTCACCACAGTAAAATTTGGTCATTACAATGAGAAACAGATCAGATTTTTTATTTTTTTATTTCTTAAGGTGGCACTAATTTCCTGCTGCAGATGGCAGCTGAATGACACAGCTTTCAGTTTTAGTCAGCTGGCTTATCTTGTGGCACTAACCACCCCTCATACTTTCTCCCTGGGAAAACGTCATTGAAAGGCCCTCTTGACTGCGTTGGCAGGTGCAGACAGTGCAGGTTTGGGCGGATCCGTGGACTCGGGCCGGGTCGGTTCCACTCCCACACTGATACTGCAGAGAGTCCTGAAGCATATAGAGTCCACTGATGCCAACGGAAGTACCTTTACACCTTTACACGTGACAGTGCTGCTTATATTAGAACAACACCCAAATGGAGAAGCGGAGGAGTTTGACTTTCTCCCTTTATTATTTTTTTAATTTGGATGTTTGCATTTTAACTACCCACTTCACCTCAGTGTTTTGATGTTACCTGAGCTTGTTTTCTTTATTATAATTAAGGTACAATTATTCACTTGGAACAACCCATACCTGTTCCCACACCTGCCCTGCTGAGGTACTTTTGACCAAGTCACCAACCAAACCATGTGAGGAACAACTTTCTAATTGTGAATGAGTAAGTTAATATTTATTTGGATAGTGAACATTGATCAGTTGTTTTCATTAAGCACAGCCAGGTATCCTCCCTAATGTCCAGCTGACTGTCATTGTACAATAGGAAGGCACTGCCACCATGTGGTGATCAGTGTGGTTGAAGCTGAACATGCTGTAAGTGCTCAATGACCCTTTGTTCTGTAGTACACTATTTTATACAACTAAATCTCTAAGTTGTTGAACAAGCTCCGTAACAAACATGTTGAACTTCATTCACTGTCAAGGTTTTCAGAGAGTGCACGGCGTGCATCTTAAGGATTAGTATGAGCTGATGGATAAACTGTTATCATATTAATCCATGGACAGCGTCACTCTTATTTTATCAATGGCCACTCCTCTCGTGCCATTTATAGTTGTCTCCTCATGAACAAATGGACAACTTAACTTTTTACTTTACTGACGGTTATTCAAACATATTGGCATTAACATGATAACATAAATCTGTTTCTTAAAGTCACATATGTAGTAAAAAAACTCCCTAACAGGAATCTGAAGTGTGTTCACCCATTAGATTTCCTCGGATCACTTCATACTGAATCTAGAGCGGATTTATTCCTCACTTTGGACAAAGAAGAAAATCACAGTACTTTCTTATACTGGCCTTCTAAAAGTAGTTCCTCCAGGTGAGGTGGCACCAAGATCTCTTACAGTCACTTACAATATACAGTTGATCATCCACCAGTCCTGGATATTAAAATGTATTTAATCTGAAGACATGATTGTCTATTTAACAACCCGGTGCAGTTCTACAATGTAGTGTTTGTGTCTTAATTACAATTAATGATTTAGTCTTGCATCATACTCGTGTCACATTGAGCATTTAACTATTCTCTCATCATCCACACTGTCTACATAATTAGAGAATTATTCTATACCCCAAAGATATAATAATCTTTTGTTTTATGAAAGAGAAACAGATTAGAGAGTCTGACTAAACAAGTTAAAATCAATTTTCCCATTTAAATTGATTAGTATTATTCAAACAGACTGATAGTATATAAATCAAGAATTTTATGTGTGTACACCTGGGGTTTAGCAACATTTGTGCTGTAATCGCAGCACTGAAATGATTTTGGCTGATAGATTAAATAGTTTGAGAAAGCTTTATTCAGTTGAACTGCAGAGACTTTTAGTATGAGACTCCCAGCATTCACAAAATATAAAAAAAATAATTAAATCGCTCCTTGTCGACATTACTAAAAAAAGAAATGACAATATGCAGTGAGTTTTATTAGTATCAAATCAATGAACGTATTTCTTCCTGCTGAAATAGACACAACAGCACACAAGCCAAGGCTGGAGATAAAGTAAAAGCAAAGAAAATTAATCACCAACACAAGACAAGGTCCTGATACAGCAGTGTTTAAAAAAAGTCTAAATTAGTGCCAGATTCCAATATCATTACACAAGAAAGCTGAAAAATCACCAACTGGGATGTTTGCATTTTTATGTTCACATACATATCAGGGCAGTGAATGCAGCATGTATAGAGGCACCTGTTCTGGTGCCTCATCAGAAGCAGAATCACAGTTTCACGGCAATGCCAGGAGCTCGCATTACAGACAAAAACACACCCATCAACATTTGGGGGGGGGGGGGGTCAAAATCCATTCCCAGCTAACCTTGAACACTCAGGCAAAGCACAGAGGAGTGGATGGAATCAAAAACATGGCAGACAGCGACGACAGGCTGCAAGGTTGTGATCATCACCGATCAAAATATTTTTCTCACTCAGTATTTCATCAAAATATGAAGGGACTTTTTAAAAGAGGGAAATGTATAAATCATTAAGTAACAGGAAAACAAAAATATTTTCCCTGTGAGAGCACAAACTAACAAAAAGAAGAAAAAAGAAAAAAGAAAAAAAAAAAAAAAAAAAAAAATCAAAGCCAAAAGTGGGCACATTAAGAACTGAAGATCTTATTTCAAAAGAAGCCATGTAAAAGGCAATTCCCTCCCCTTCATTAAGAAACAAAACCACGTGTCACCATACAGGCCTATGGTGAACAACTACCAGTCTATTTTACCGCCTACGGGTGTATCGGACTCAGTGCTTGCTGTCTGCAGAGGCGGAGCGGGAACGTGAACGGGATCGGGAACGAGAACGGGAGCGTGAACGGGAGCGAGACTGTTTGTTCTGAGCGGGAGCAGGTGAACGTGAACGTGACCGAGACCTGGAGCGGGACTTGGAGCGAGACTTGGATCTGGAGGGGGATCTGGCTGCGGCCTTGCCCCCTCCGGATGTCTTCTTCTCTGGGGTGCGGCTGAGAGATCTGGAGCGGCTCCTGGAGCGGTTGCGGCTGCGGGAACGACTCTTTGAGCGAGAGTAGCTGCGGGAACGGGAGCGGCTCTTGCTGTGACTGTTGGGAGAGAGAGAGAGAGAGAGAGAGAGAGAAGCCATGTTTAACATTAGTCCTGTGTCGTTATGCAGTTTTACACAAGACAAGAAACAATAACATGACAAATCTTCAAGCCGTACTGAGCAGGATATTAACGCAAAAATAAGAGTCTTGAATTCTCTGATAAATCATAGATCTTCTCTGTTGTCATAAATGATGTTGGCCCCCAATGTGTCGGGTTCAATCACTGGTGGGAAAACAAACCAGCTGGCACTTTGTCTAGACAACGTGTTATTTCTTGCCCTTGTTAAGGTGGAGTTGGTGGAAGATTTGTTTGTTTTTGTTTTTTTTTAACTTTGGACAGAGTCAGACGAGCAGTTCCCATCTACTATCAGTCTTAATGCTAAGCTAATTGCTGGCTATAGCTTCCTATTGAGTGCATCTGTATTAGAGTCTTCTCATTTAACTTTCAGCTAGAAAGCAAAGAGCAGCATTTCCCGAAAACTGTACCATCATGTGAAGAGTTCACTCATCTACCAGATTTCTAGATCACAGGATCAAACACTTTTGTCCTCCTCATACTTAAAGCTACACAAGTGCAAACAGCAGAAAAAGCAGTTTTTAACACATCTTCAATAGAAAAAAAAATAAAAAAATAGTGAAGACAAATCACCTTCTGCTGTCCTCGAAAATCTTCAGCTTGCGTCCGTTCAGTTCCGTCCCGTCAAGCTTGGCGATGGCATTCTTCATATCACTGCGAGATGCAAACTCAACCACCCTGTATTCAAGCAGAAACATTCGTTAGGACCGAACTCTGAAGACAAAGACAGAGAGTGAGAAGTTTGACAATGAGAAGAAGAACTCACCCCTCATTTTTGTTGGGTCTGTGAGCGTCCACAAAGGTAACTTCACCTGCTTTTCTCATCAGGTCTTTCAGATCCTGTTTCAAAGCATAGAGCCGGATTAGTAAAACAGAACAGAGCATGAGGTGCCAGTGAGAGCCTTTTTCTGACCTGGAGGGAGAGAAATGAGCAGGCAGCAAGAAACCAGCACACACAGAAACATGGGTTATCTAATGCTGTCTTTTGTCACTTTGTGATAAGCTCCCATTTCAGTGGAGGGCATGTAAACAAA